GCAGCACATACGGTCTTGTGACGTCTCCGGGCTGTGGTTTCGGGGTGACTGGGAAGGCGTGACCCCAGTTTCAGGGGGACCACGCCGCCTTTTCCGGCAGCAGCTGCTCGGACTCTGGGCAGCCAGCCCTCGGCTCCCAGTGCGTTGGTGGTGAAGGGGCGGGGGCCCGGGACCCTGCCCCCGCTAGTTAACCCATTCCCGAGCTGCAGGTGAGGCCCCGGCGCTGGCACCTGCCACCTTGGCTTGCCTGGAGCCGAGGTCTCCTGCTCTCCAGGGTTGGGTTGAGGGTCTCTGTTCCCGGGCTTTTGGAAACTGGCCACTTGTAACCTTTCTGCTGGGAAAAAAAAAAAAAAAGACCCTCCTCCCCATTTGCGCACTCTGCCCCCGGGTCGGGCTTCCCGGAGGCGACCACCCGAAGGGGGCTCCAGGCAGGGAGGGCTCCTTGCAGATCTGTGCCCTCGACCCCGGCCCGCGCTCTCCTGGTCGGCCACCCAAACCAGAAAGATCTCCACTTCTGGCTCAAGTACTTCTGACAACATGTGCATTTATTAGAAATACAAACGTAGGAATCCAAATACAAATACAGAGGGTGGCCCAGCCACGAGGCCCAGCTGGCTCTGGGCAGGGTGCGGCCCGGGGGCGCGGCGGGGACGGACGCGCAAAGCGGGGCGCGACGCCGCCCGTGTCGCCAAGGCACGTCGGGCGCTAGTGCGCCCTCATTTCACTAGGACACCACGAGCGCACGGACAGCGGGAGTCACGTCTTCTGTGTAGGGGAGGAGGACGGCGGGACCTCGGAACAGCCCGGTATGGCCTGACCACCCTAAGTCAGGGCCTCCAAGCCCTTGCAGGACGACAGGGGAACAGAGGCTATTGGAGGCCACTTGGGGAGGGTGGGGACCCTGTCCGACCTCTGCCCGCTTGCTTGGTGAAGGGCGGGCGCAAGCACGTGGGCAGGGTGGGACCCCTCGGGGCCAAGCGCATCTGCACCGGGCGCTCACAGCTGATTCCAAGATGCTCTCAGGTTCTGGAATCCCTCCACCTTCTTTCCACCCGGCAGTGGCTTCCCAGGCAGGAAGGATTCCATCCAAACAGAGCGGACAGACCGCACCTCTTTACCATCCCTTTCTGCCTGGGGCATCTCATAGTTTTGCTTTCCACACAAGCTTCGCAAAGAGAGGACCCTCAGAACACTATGGCTAATTCCCACGTGTTGCCCCGTTCAAGCCAGATCTGAGGCTTTCCTGTGTTGTCTGTGAATGCAGGTTCCTAAACAAGCGTGGTGATGGTTCTTTGCCATCTGAGTCTTTAGAACAACTTTTAGCTTATCAGATAAACTTGACCACAATGCACAAATGATCAAGGAATCGCTCAGATGTGCACCCAAGTGAAAATAGTGATGCTCAAGTGCTCTCCAAAGGAGGGAGTCTTATTTGGACTCCAGACTGACTTCTGATTAGGCATTTAAGCTAGTTATTTGTTTATTTATTTTAAGAAAGGATATGATTACATATTTTAAGGAAATACAAAGATCTCTCTCTCTCTCTCTTTCCCCCTTCCTCTCCTTTTTATCTTAACCAGAGGCTTACTAAGCTAATGTGCTATCACTAGGAAACTGTGCTCCTTTCTACTTGTTTCAACTAAATCTGGGGTGATGGACAGAGTAATACACACATCAATAGGTTGTTCTACTTTTACCACTGTACGTACAGACACAAAAGCACACATCATTGCATGTAAACACAAGATGGCCCTTGCTCCTAAGAAGACACAGGTCCAGTCCCTGAAAATTGTTCTTCTCCCATAATCTTTCATAGACAATGCGCTCATGAAAAATGAGCCCTTTGCTCAGTCCAGGACCTGCTCATAAAGAAAAACATATCATGTCATTGTACAAACACATTAGCATGTAAACATTATTCACTAGCACAGAATTAGCCAATCTGAAGGTCAAGAATGATTAAAGTGTCTTTGAGAATGTTTTGATAAAATATTCTAAAAAGAGACAACATACTAGTAAGTAATATAAGTATCACTAAGAGATTTTGCCTGTGTCTATTTCCATTCAAAGTAATAATGCCAAGAGAAATTAGGGAGAACCAAAGCCTAGACCCAAATTGTATGATAAGAAACATGGGGAATTTGCAGTTTCCAGGGATGCATCCATTTTAGGGAAAAGAAATGGTTATTAGCCAATTCAAATGTTATCTTCAAGAAATGGAATAAAAGCCAAATGAGTGAAAAATGAAAAAGAAAAATGAAAGCAACCAGATAAAAATTGGGTGGAACGTTCTCCTAAATGGTAATTCCAAATTCCGATTGAGTCAGGGTGGACAGACAGGACTGCTGGGGAAGAGAGTTCTGAAAATGTATCAGGCAAGCAAACTTTTGGACTATGGTCTGTGTATTTAATATTCAAACTGAAATTAAACTTTTCCATTTTTTTCATTAGTTATGTTATAATTTGTAAAAGATATTAAACTTTTGTGTTAAATCAGTAGCTAAGAGCTAGTATAAAACACAGAAAGAGTGCAACAATGATGGTGATGCTGGTGGTGATGTACCATCAAATCCAGCTGACAATTTGAAATTTTAGACAGCAAGATATGTGCTGTTTCTACCACATGACTTATCTTAATTGCACTGAAAGTCACTTAAGAATGTATTTTTTTTTTTTTTTTTTCTCTTTTGCTTCTAAGGCAACCCTGGAAGTGCATGGACCCAGTGAGTGCGCAGGTTAATGGGCGGGTTGCCTGTGAGGACTGGGTGTTGTGGCCCTATCCAGTGACTGTGCACGGGACCGTTGTTCACTGACAACATCGACCAAAAGCTCTTCCTGTTACAAACATCAACTATATTTGATAAAAACCTGCTCTAATAAATACCAACCAAATCAAAGCCCTCACCACTTATTCCTGAAAATCAGAATCTGACAGTGGGTTAGTCTTCTACTTAATATGTTTCTAATGAATTTTCTATAAATCCGAAGTCGAACACTGTCCTTTAAAATAGATTGCCCGAGACTAGGGGATGAGCTTTGATTTCCATGACAGTGCTCTGGGCAGGAGCAGGCTCATCCTCCCATGCACATGTGCTCCTTAATCAAACTGTGGGACTCCCCAGGTCCCTGCGGCCATCCTGGAAGACTCTGCTCCTAGGAGCAACTCAGCCCACCCTGTCCAAGGCCTCCAGCCTCCTGCTTTGAAGCTCAGCAGTCTTAGGTGGAAAGGGGAGGCTGGGGGGACCTTTCCTCCCCTTGCCTTGCCTGTGAATGACCCCCCCCCCCACTTACTGCCATCCATCCTGATTATCACATTGCTCGTGAAGTGACAGCCTAGCCAAAGGGTCCAAAGGTTATTTTTCCACAGGTGATTTGGGAGAACACTTGACAAACTGCTGTGTTATTGGAAAAATATTTGATGGAAAATGGGTACCTTAATCCCTTTGTGAAAAAGTGGTTACTGGCAATATTGTCATTTTGAGAAGACTGACATCTTAGGAGCTGAAATAACTGTGCTACAGGCTTCTGATCTAAGAAATATCTATTTAAGAAAATACAAATTGGATGTGTTATGTACATAAACGTCATTCACTAGGATGGGACTTCACTATGTGAGGCGACCAGGAGAAATCTGGGTCTGAGACTGTCACAGGAAATGTAAATGTTACTTTGTTGGGAAAAACAAGGAATCTTAAATAACTAGGAAAAAAAATAAAAAGGAAAATATAGCAGCTTCCTGTTCAATCTGGGGATTTCATTATTGGCAATCAATGTTCTTTCCAGTATGTTGTTCAATTTAAGCTGATCAGCAGACACAGAGGCGCTTCCTTCCCCGCAGGAACCATCACCGTCCTCATGTCACTTGCCTGCTCACTGGGCTCTAAAACCTTGTTTGCAAACGTGAAAATAAAGTGCTGAAACAGGTTGTCTGGACAGCTCAAGCAAAGCACTGACATTTGCCTCAATTACCTGAATGCTACATTCAAACTGTGTTTGTTTTGGGTGTGGGGTGTGTGTGTGTGTGTGTGTGTGAGAGAGAGAGAGAGAGAGAGAGAGAGAGAGAGAGAGAGAGAGAGAATGTGTGTTTTTCTGCCTAATTATTTCTAGCTCATGTTCCTGGGTAACATAATCTGAAAAACCTACTTGGTTACCTCAAAAATGGAAAACTTCTTAGTGACAGATTGTTAAACTAATTTTTTAGCTCTGATTCATTTAAACTGGTTTAAAATTTCACTTTTATGTAAGCAGAGTAGTAAGAGGTTTAAGGGGTTTATTGACAACATTAAAAATCAAAGCGTTCAACTAGAGGACACTTTGAAAATAAGTATATAAAAGTAAACATTCTCCTTGTTGGCCTTAATAGAACTAGACCAGTCTTATATCCTGGAATTGCTAGCTTATAATAAAAAGAAATTTTAAAAGGAGGAGTGGAAATGTCCTAATCTCTTATCTTCAAAACTACCAGACATTAAAAAGAAATAAAGACAAATTTTTATTCCAGAGAGAACAAATGGCTGAGTTGTTATCCTGTCATCTTAAGACGCACATGTTTTTTCCCTATAATGATAGAGATCTATTTTGATAATAAAAGGTAAGTCAGCGAGCGATCACAGGTGGAGCCTGTCATTTATCCTGAGCTGCTGTTCTTGATTCTTGGGATGTGACTGTGTGGAGAACACAGACGTGAAGGTACCGCTATGCTGTTTGAACCTGAACTTTTCCTACAGGCCAATTTGAGAAAAAGAAGTATGCACAGACTATGCACTTCCTCAGTTTGGAGCAATTTGAGGGGTGCTCAACAAAAAATTGTGAATTTACAATGTATTCACAATCTGGTTCTTTCCCCCTAATTTCCAGACACCTTTCTGAAGATTTTTTATATTTATATTTTTATTTCTTTTAGCAGCTGGCCAGTATGGGGATCAGAACCCCTGTTATAACACCATGCTCTAACCAACAGAGCTAACCAGCCAGCTCCCCCAATTTTTCCTTTATTTTTATTTTTTTGTGGCTCATGAATATTTTTTAAATGATAGTGTTCTGAAGCCCAAGATGGACAGTGTTTTAGTACAAATGGAGCTTAACATTTCAATATATATTTACATCAGATTAGGTTTATCCCAAGTCATTACAGAAACTGAAGATGAAATTTCATATGTATTACAGTTTATAAACTCTCATAAAAAGCACTCAAAAACAGTTGCAAGAGCACGAAGTGAATTCTAAATTTTTTGTGCCTTAAGAGCATTGAACTGATACAGTGATAAGTTTAATGGTTGGAGACCAGTTATAATTCTTCAAGTCTCAAAGGATATCACAGAAAGTTTCCATTTTGGCAGCCAAGATTAAAATGATTAAGGAGAAGAGGTTTTGCTTGTTTTATGTTCTAGCCCTTTAGATAAAGAGTGGCCCATTGTTTCCTAGTGGTGGCAAGCATCAGTCAATGAAAAATGCGGTTACAGGTCCCCTCTCCTGTTGCTTCCAGAGCCTGGTATTTTGCAGAGCAGCAAAACAAAATGCCTAAAAACCTGTTCTTACTGCAGCAAGCCATCCCAAGGCAAGGTGGCCTGGCATGCAGGTTCTGTATGGACACTCATATCCCATCACAAGGACTATGTTGCTGACTTTCAGGTTGGCCCTAATTTTCCTTATGTAGCATGAAAATGCTTTGCTGTAGAGGATAAGCATTTCCTCAATTGAAGAATACACAAAAACTTTGTACTTAACTGATTTTATATAAAACTAAGGATAAGACTGTTAGGCATATAAAGAAATAAAATCCTATTTCCATCCATTCATTGAAAATAAGTAAAACTTGAAATATAGCTGATTGCAGGAGATGGATAATCTTGCAAGATGTGTATTATTTAAGCTTTTTGTTTTGTTTTAAGGCATATTTTGGGTATGTTGGGGGCAGTATTGGCTGGGTCCAGAGTAAAGTATATTAACATTGTCCTTCTCTGTTCAGTATTGGGGGAGTCTGCTCTGGTTGGTGTTGGGACTTTGCAGAAGCTAAAACTTTCTGGGCACCGAAGAGGCATTTTGCTCTACTTCCATTAACGTGAAATGCCTTTTTTTCTCTTTTCCCCTCACCCAGGATGCAGCTTAAAAGAAAGCGGACACAGTTTTAAGTATGATCCAATCCATAGTTGTCAGAAATTTGGAATCCTTTTCAAAATATGGAACCATCATCTCCTGGATTTAGTGTATTTTTGAAACACAGTAGCACCTTTGGAATGCAGATCACTCAGACAACTTCCACCAAAGATAGTTCCCAATTCTCCACACAAAGTAAGCTGGGCAGAGCTGTGCCCCCACATATGCCTCATCACCAAGCACACTGGAAAAGGAGGTCTTTCAATTAAAGAGGGATGAACTTCCCTCAGCCCTCGCCCCGTGCCCCTCCTCTTCCTTCCTCCACAAAGGAAACACAAACATGCTTTAAAAAGCCCCTGACTGCTGCACCTTAGTGAGGTGCACACGTCTCTCCTGTATTGTGGACTGAAAGGCTCATCTCAGGAGTTAAGATCGATATGAAGAACTTGAATTTCACAAGCCTGCAGAGAAACAGGCATTGGGGTGCTCTATGGGAGTGTTTTAGTGTTTTTTAGTAAGCCTAGTGGCTCAACTGCTATAGATGCTTGAATCTATTTTATGCTCTATTAGTGAACATCCATCAGATTCTCTTGAGATGAAGGTTCTCCTTCATAGGAAAGGAACCATGAACTACAGTGTTATTATCAGGAGGACAGCTGAGTTTGGGAAGAAGAGAATGGGTGGATTCAGAAAACAGAGGTTACTGGTACACTTATCCTATAAGTAATGTTTCATGAGAGCTGCTAAAGCTATTCAAATATTGAGTGGTTTTGAAACAAGAGGCATTGGTAAAATTCTTTTTAAGGTAAAATTGGACCAAATCTATGTTATAAAAATGTCTTTTAAATTATTTCCTTTTAAGAATTTTACTAGAAAATTCAGTTCTCTCCAGAACTTCTTTTACAATGTAACAGGTTGAGATTTTCATATTACTAGAAATGATCAATTCATAAAGTTGGAAATTGTGTTTGAAGAAGACAGCCCTTGGGTCACCTGCCTGGCTCAGTGCCGGGGTTTGGGGTTCCTTTGGTCAGGTACCTCCAGGGTCTCTCTGCCTCGGGTAGGAGGGATTGTTTCTGCATGAGAGACAGAACTAGGATACTAGTAAGTGAACTTCTCCAATAGAGGAGAAATTTCATTTAAGCCGATATTTTCAACCTATTTCTCCACAAATATTATTTTATTTTTTAAATTGAATTTGCTAAGTAGAAGCCAATTGGCTTGTGGCTTACATAGCACCTATCAAACCAAAGGCAGAGAGTTGATAGGACAGAAAAAAATGGGTTTGAGTGTCTCACATCATACAGACTTACTTGCTCCTTGAAAACTGAGTGATTATATATGTGTATCTTTGCATTCATTTGATATGTAACAATGTTAATAAGAATTAGACATATCTAATTTCATTTTTCTGGTCTCTTCTACTCCCATCCCCTTCTGTGTCTGGTATACGTCTAATAAAATGTGTGAAATCAGTACTTTTATATACTTTCTCTGCATAATGTTTTACTTTTTTCTGAGTAATAACAGTATGCACAGAAGATAATTTAAAAATGTATGCTTTCCAATAAAATGAATTGTTTTATGTGTGGAAAAATGAAAAGCACAGAGATTCTGGTACCAAAATTTTAATAATGCTAAAGCATTATTAAATAACTGGTAGGACTTTTTTTCTCCCTATTGATGGTGTGAAGCCTCAAGAGAGTCTTACGAAGTACATAGTGGCATCCAGTTATAACAAATAACTAATAGCAAGAAGGAAACTGGCTTGTGTTATAAAAATATCAAAGGAGTGGTGATTTGGGGGGAATTTTTCTTTGGGATTTTGCTATGTATCCATATTTCAAAGTATAAAATATTTTTTGTTCATCAAAATATACAATTGATGATCACTATTATTCATTTTTTTGCATTTAAAGTTGGTTTGACTGGAAAATTAATATTTACTAAGATATTTTTAGAACTCTATATTTCTTTCACACTCTGGAATATGTTTTCAAGACAAAAGCTTGTGCATGCTATATACCTGTCTTTGCAAGATGAAGACAATTACTAAATCCATAATAATATAACGTAAGCTAGACACATACTCCAGGATTAGCCTTGGGCTAGCAAAATAGAGCTCTTAAGGTGAAATGTTGAATTCAAGTTGAACTAGTCTAAGAACCCTCTCAGTAGTTTAGAATAAAGTAACAACCTCCTAATGTTCAGAGCTAATCAACATCTGACATCAGCAATGTGAGAATTTTGGAAATCATACTTTTTCCTCAAATGGGAACTGTGGAGGGCAAGAGGCACTCTTCCTAGGCCCTGGTGAGTTTTCAGGTGAAGGATGCTGGCCACGGAGAGAGGAAACTGGGATGGAGATTGGCTGCAGTTTATACTTGAACTCAGGTGTCCTGTGGGCACGGGGTGACCCAGCACGAGTGTGTCTTGGCCGGGAGTGACTCGTGCACGTGGGGGCTGTAAAGGAGAGCTGAATCGGGGGAGGGGACTGAGACAACTTCTCAGATATCTGCTTGCGTGTTATACAGATATCTTTGCAGGGGTTATCAGCAGCTGCTTCCACTATCCAAAAACCATTCATAAATATCACCAAGCTATGGATTCAGTAAGGGATTAGCAAGAATATCACTTTAAAATTGAATCAACGTGTGTGTGTGTGCGCGTGCGCGCGCGTGAGAAATACATGATAGAAATATTTGCCAGATACTTCCTGCACTGCTGAAAGGTAATTTATAATTTAAGATAAACTGAGCAGTGTTTTTCCTTCCTAGTCGCGACGGGTCACTACTGGTCTGGGGATGGTGTAAGGTAAAGAGCGTGAACCAAATGCTCTTCACTAGTCACTACAAGCAACACTCAGAGATACAGGTATCCGACCCAATAGACCAGGTTAAAGAGCAGGAATGACGTAGGGAAAAAGACCCGGGAGTACGAGTCCAGCTCCAAGATGTCTATGTGAATGCGTCCCTTTCTCCAGGACCCCGATTTACATTCTTCATAGCAGCAGAAGAAGCTCTGGCAGTCCTTGCCATCCAGACACTCATAGACACAGGTTTCTTCAAACTCCTGCCAGTACACGGAGTTGTTTAAAGTGATCATCGCAGGTGGGGGTGGCCTCATATCGAGGAGAGAGTAGTTCTGCAGGCAATAAGAACGACACAACAATCACCATGAAATGCAATAAAAACAACCGGAGGTATATGAAGCAATAGATACATATTATGTCTGCTGCTGGGTAAAGAAGAACGGAGGTGCCCATCCCCCACATTCCCCTAGCACTGAAGAGTACTAGTCCTTTCAGTCTTTATGCAAGAAAAATTGCATTGCACTTACAGCACATGTACTTCCCAGACTCTTGGTAAGGAAGGTTGAGCTTGTTTTCAAATGTGTAGTAGCCATTCTAAGTCCCCACAGATATGTACAATCAATTATGTTTCAATAAAAATAAAATGAAATAAAAGTGAAATAAATTAGCCCCTTATCTCTAAGCAGTTTACAGGAAGTAGAGGCTTGAAAACAATTATCTAATTAATTCAGTTAGGGAAAATATGCGTACTTTTCCTCGATGTCTAAAATCAAAGTTGTTTGGATTAGTTCTAAATTGGCTAGAGTTGCTTCATTTCTCCTTACGTTATTTTTATATATATTTTTGTAACATTATATTTTTATATGTAACCCAAGCTGATGCACTAAAAAGAAAGTTGCAGAAATATTTGCATGGACATGGAAAGATGTTCATAAGAGCCTGTTACATTTTTATAAAAGGAGGTCTCATTTTTGCATAATATATCTATATCTATCCCAGTATGTTAGTATATGTGATAGGAGAGTATGTTGTATGTACACTTAGAAATCTGGAGAGGTTGGGCCGGCCCGGTGGCGCACTGCTACAGTGTGCCGCTTGAGAGCGCGGCGGCGCTCCCGCGAGGGTTCGGATCCCACATACAGACCGGCCGCTCGCTGGCTGAGCGAGGTGCGGGCGCAACACCGAGGGATGTGATCCTGTTGCCGGTCCCGGTCCGGTACGGGCGCGACACTGAGGGTTGCGATCCGTTGCCGGTCACGAAAAAAGACAAAAAGGAAAAAAAGAAAAAAAGAAATCTGGAGAGGTAGTAATGGTGGTTATGGGGTGGGTAGGATATATGTAATTCTTTCTGCTTATCTACACTTTCTGATTTATCAAATTGTTAAAATTAGTACTACAATTCATGCTTGTCTGCAAAACCTGGAAGTAACATAGAGCATAATAAAAAGCACGTGTTCCTCTGTGCTGCCAGCTGTCCCACACCATACCCTACCTCCTGAAATCCCACCTTTTTTTTTTTCCAGAGGTGACCTTTTTTTGATGTGCTAACAAATATTATCTATGTCTCTTGCACAAATACTTGTATGTAGGAGTTTGTTAACATAGTAGGATTATGCTTGAATTGCCATTTTAATTTATCATAAATATTTTCCCATGTAAGTGTATTTCTGTTTAGTAGGTGAACTTTCATACTTCATGCAATAAGAATGTATTGCTTTTATAGAAGAAAGTAAAAATAAAATAAACTTCATAACAAAAAAGTCCCTATTCTGCCTGTTTTTCTGTTGATTTGTAGCAGATACGTACATATTATATATTTATCCTTCAATGTTAAATAGTACATGTAGTACTAATAGTGTGGAGAGATAGAGATGGTATTTTTTAAAAATAAGTAAATAGAAAAAATTTGGTGTGTAGGAATAATGAGATCACCTTCTTGTTCCAGGCAATTCAGGTAAAAATGAGCTTTCGGTGTGAGGTGGCTGGACACTCCTTGTCATCTCAAGAATGACGATCAAACATGTTTATGATTGGAATGTCTTCCTTTCTGCTACCCAGGCTCTACTCCTGACGTGGAAAGTCAGTGTGGGCAGAGAAAGGAGAGAGAATGACTTACTCTTCTCCCACAAATGACAGGAATAATTCCTCACCTTGGACAGTGGCTTCAGATAGACTTGTCAATTCTTTAGACAGTTGCTCGTCCCAATAACTATGAACTATGTGTTACACTGGATTCTGCTAAGAGAATACATTTCTAAATTTGACCAAATGATGGAAGAGAATTAAAAAGCATAGTATTTGCCTTTCTGCTTTAGTTTTATTTGTGTTGGTTGACCTGAGACAGGCATGTCAGAGGCAACCTGGGAAGGTGTTGTCAAGGGAGAGGTGGACGTGGACCCCCATTTCTCAGCTGGCAGGCTGCCTCATTCCTTTACCCAGGAATGGCACAGTTCTGGGAAAGAGGCCATTGAGAATTCATTAGAAAGCATCATGAGAATCTCTTATATTTTTACCAAAAACTATGATTTCTAGGAAACACGGTACCCCTTTCCTTCTACATTTGGATCTTAGTTTGATTGGACATGTTCATGGCTGTGTGGAGTCATAAGCCACAGGAGGAGGTGGAAGGGTCAGTACTTGTAGCCTTTTGGCACATCCTTGTGAATGGAAAGCATCTGTGTGTGAGGAATGACCTGAAGCAGGATGCTCTGGGCCACATATTCACTGAGCATTGCCTATTCCTCACATGCCTCTGGCCATCCATCTCTGCTCCAGGCACGGCCACGCTGTGCAGCTGTCTGACGTCCTCCACCAGTCTGGTGAATGGGAAGACATGGAATTCCCTCTGTCCCTACAGCTCTAATGTGGATGCATCTCCTCTACAGAATGGTTCTTAAACCTGAATAGGTGTAAATATCACCAGGAGGTTCGCTGAAACAAAGCAGATTCCTGCATTTACGCTACTGCACTTGAGGACTCTGCATCTTTTTTGACAAGCTCCAGTTGGAAAAGTCTGCCTTTATTAAATAACAATTGCATTAAATGTCTTCCTACATGTGTACTTCGACGATGTTCAGCCAGATCTTCATCCATTCATTTCATCAATCTCATGTATCTGTGTAATCCCTTACTATGTGGAGTGAACTGTGGGCCACAGGAGACACGGAGGAGAAGCCTGGCCGTTACAAGGCCGGGCAGCCCCAAAGGAGGATGCTGACTCAGACTGGGCACCAGGAGGCTCTGCAGGGACGGGTCAGCCCAGAGATCTAAAGGGTGATTTCAGGAGGCTGTGGGCAAAGAAGTAGTAAGGTTTCCGGGGGCAAGAGAAACCTTCATTTCACTTGTTAGGTAACAAAAAACCCATAGCCACTGAAACACATAGAAACTCAATACAATATTTAAGACAGCTCTATTTATGTCTTTACAGCTCAATGTTTTACAATGAAACTAATTCCATTTTACAAGACCGAAATAAAACTTTACCTCTTTTTTAAAAAAATTAAATTTTCTCTTAGTTTTTTGGAAATTTCTTTTCTCTCTGTGTTAAAGGATGTGTTGTTTATTTTGGCACTATCGTTTTACATCAAAGATGTCAATATTTCTTTCCCTCAACTCCCAGCTGCTGCTGTGTGTGATAACAGGCTCCTCTGTTTTTCAGCACCCCCTTCTGCAATGTTTCAGTCTGAGGCAATTTGGAAGCATTTTTTGGCAAAATCTGTATGTTAATTGTGGATTTCCACAGACATAAAGTGGCTTGCCTGCTAACCTGTCAGAACTACAATGACACACACTTGCAAAGTGTAGATAACTATAGAGTCTGTTTATGCATACAGGCTGAAATGCACTAAATATAAGGTATTGATTGACACTTAGAAAACCACCTGTGCTTTATGAGTGGGCATAAAGCATTCGGTGTAATTAATAAATTGATATGTATAAAAGGAATAAAAGTCATGATTATATATAAAAGTTGTCATATGATAAAAGTAGTAGTCCACATCAGTGATTTAAAGATGAATTTTTCAATTTTTCTATAAAGCTAGATTCTTACCTCAAGCTATATTCTAAAAATTCAGATATGTTAATAATTAAATGTAACAAATTTGTTTTACAATACCAATACAATATGTAATACAACATACATAATATATAACATATAAGTAACTGGCAGATTGCTACTTTAAAATACTAATAGAAGTCAAAAGATATTAAAAAGTAACTCACAAAAAACAGAAATGCAAATAAAAAAACAGTAAAAAAGATTCAATTGGTCATAATTAAAGAAATGCCAATTGGAACAGTTTGCAGGTGCCATTTCTGTTTGGCTGACAGATGGAATGCAAGCAGAGTTTGGGGAGGTGGTGTCCTCTTCTGCTAGTGCAGCTGATGGAATGCCATTGGACAGAGACCATGCAACGCTCTAGCCCTGCCATTCTGCTTCTAGGAATTTATAACTAAATAAATAGTCACAGGTGTATACAGAATGGCAGCGATAAAATGTGTATGTAAGTAAAAAGGTGTGGATAGGCTCAGTATCCAGTCACAACTGCATGTGCATCAATCACGAGCATATGATGCAATTGTTAAAATGACCATATAACAATATTTATGGCACAGAAACTTAAGGGCATATAGCTGACCCTTGAACAATTCAGGGACTGGGGGTGTTGACTCCCTGCACAGTTGAAAATCAACCTATAACTGACTGACCATATAACAATATTTATGGCACAGAAACTTAAGGGCATATAGCTGACCCTTGAACAATTTAGGGACTGGGGGTGTTGACTCCCTGCACAGTTGAAAATCAACCTGCACAGTTGAAAATCAACTCCCTGCACAGTTGAAAATCAACCTATAACTGACTCCCCAACCACTTAACTACTAATAGCCTACTGCTGATTGGAAGTCTTACCAATAACATAAACAGTCAATTAACACATATTTTGTATTTTATATGTATTATACAATAAAATAAGCTAGTAAAATAAAAATGCTATTAAGAAAATCATAAGAGAAAATACATTTACGGTACTATACAGTATTTATTGAAAAAAATCCACATAAGTGGACCTGTGCAGTTGAAACCTGTGCTGTTCTCAGAAACATCGGCACCTGTAATGCTATACATACGGAAGGGGCTTGCAGGCCTATTCGCTCATGAATCCATCTTGAGGAATCTGGATGTAACAACTACAAGAAAAGAAGAAAAAAATAATTAGAAAACTTTTGTGGAACTCTGCATTCCAGATCACCCTCCTTTAAGGTAAGCCTAACCCATCCATGTGGCCGGTAGGAAAAGCCGGAGGTGCTCGAGGGTCACATTCTCACCTTCAGAGTCCTTGTCCGGCTGTTTAAAGTCCTGTTGGGTTAGCTTTTTCTGCCTCCCGAGGCCCGGCCCTCCCTCACCTACGCGGCCCTCACCTGCCTGGCCCTCACCTGCGCTGCCCTCACCTGGGCGGCCCTCACCTGCGCGGCCCTCACCTGCACAGCCCTCACCTGCCTGGCCCTCACCTGCGCGGCCCTCACCTGCACAGCCCTCACCTGCCTGGCCCTCACCTGCGCGGCCCTCACCTGCACAGCCCTCACCTGCCTGGCCCTCACCTGCGCGGCCCTCACCTGCACAGCCCTCACCTGCCTGGCCCTCACCTGCGCGGCCCTCACCTGCACAGCCCTCACCTGCCTGGCCCTCACCTGCGCGGCCCTCACCTGCACAGCCCTCACCTGCCTGGCCCTCACCTGCGCGGCCCTCACCTGCACAGCCCTCACCTGCCTGGCCCTCACCTGCGCGGCCCTCACCTGCACAGCCCTCACCTGCCTGGCCCTCACCTGCGCGGCCCTCACCTGCACAGCCCTCACCTGCCTGGCCCTCACCTGCGCGGCCCTCACCTGCGCGGCCCTCCTGGCGGCCGGCTTCCTGCAGCTGGAGTAGTAGTTGAGGGCGGCGTACTCCATCAGCGCGGCGAAGACGAACAGGAAACACACGGTGACGAACAGGTCCATGGCCGTCACGTAGGACACGCGTGGCAAGGACTTCCTGGCTATGGTGCTGAGAGTGGTCATGGTCAGGACCGTGGTGATGCCTGCGCGGGGACAGCGGTCACGGTGCGGAAGGACGCGGCACGGAACAACCACACCCCTCCCCCAACGTGGCTGTCACCTGACCCCCCCCCCGAGTCGCATACTTAATGTGATGTTACTCTTACTTTTAATGTCTATATAATGTCGTTAGCAATGTTTCCACGAAACTTCTTATCACAGTTCAAAATAACGTCAAAACACCTGAATCCAGTAGGCACCTTTCAAGTGACAAAGTAACTCTCTCCTGTTTGATATCTTGTCTTTTGCATACTCTTCCAAGGACACAGTTTGCGGCCTCACGTATCGCGTCCGTGCTGGTCCCCATCTCACTTCTCCTCTGTCCAGGTAAACCCTTTTCTTTCTCACGTCTCCCACCCGCTCCCATCTGCAGACTCCCCCGCTGGTGAGGACAGGCCGCAGGCAGAGCAGAGGACGCCCGCCCGCCCCGCTTCCCGAATAGACTGTGTGATCAAGGAAATGACTGTGTCTGCTCCTCCATGTTTGCCTGTCACCCAGTATGGTGGCTAGCACATTTTACCCATTCAAATGAATGTTTTGCCTGAAACGAACTAATTAATTGACAATACTCAACACTGCTTTCACACACACAATGCAGTGCCCTGGAGGATTCGAATTGTTGCTGCATCAATAGTTTGCTCCCTTGTATTGCTGAGTTCCAGGGTATGGGTGTACCACGGTTTCTCATTCACTCATTGAAGAGCATTTTGATTGTTTCCAGTTTTTGGCTATTACAAATAAAGCTTCCATGAAAATTCATGTCAACCCTCAAACATCATCATATTTATAGTGATTTGCTTGTAGACAGAACATAGTTGGGTCATGTTTTATTTCTTGTCCACTCTGCCAACTTCTGTTTTCTAATTGGTATATTCTGTCAATATTCTGTGATTTAATATAGTTATTAATATATGAGATGTAACTACTCCATTTTATTTTTTCCTGTTTGCTGTTTTTTCATGTCTTGTTTTCTTTTTCCTGCTTTCCTGTAAGTTACCTCAGCATTTAGAATTTGATCTTGATTTATCTACAGTGTTTTGAGTGTATCACCTTGCGTAGCCTTTCGAAGGGTTCTTCCAGTATGTTATGCAGACATGATTTATCACATGTTGACAACTTATGAGTTTGAATAACATGTAGAAACCTTACTGCCTTTTACTCTTCCCTGATTGTCATGTAATTGTCTAAGTATTTCCTTTAAATACTTTAAGAACTACAGCAGGCAACCATGATGTATAATTTAGAAAACTCAAGAGAAGAAAAGACTACTTACCCATATTTTCACTTTTTATATTGGTTTTTCTTCCTTCCTGTTGTTCAAAAATTTCTTCTCATCATTTTCTTTCCATTTCGAGAACTTCCTCTAGCTGGTATTATAGGGAGTAGTAGTAGTAAAATTTAGGGCAAATTCTCTTAGTTTTTCTTGTCTGAAAATGTCTGGATTTCTTCATTCCTGATGGATGTTCTTATTGGGTATAGAATTCTGGGCTGACAGTCCTTTCCATTCAGAACGTAAAAACTCGTGCGCTATTTTCTTCTTGCCTCGCTGGTTTGGAATGAGAAATCCACTGTCATTCAAGTTGTTTTCCTTCATAGGTAAGGTGCCATTTTTCTCTGCTGCTTTCAAGGCTTTTTCTATAGTTTTAAGAGTTTGATTACGATGTGTCTTAGCATTAAATTCTTTGTATTTATCCTGTTTGGGGTTTACTTCTTGAATCTGTAGATTTATGCCATTTGGAAAAATTGAGAAATTTTTAGCCATTATTTCTTTGAATACTTTTTTCAGTCCCACACTTTCTCTTCTCCTTCTGCAACTTCAATGACACGAATGTGATCTCACAGTTGCCTAAACTCAATTTATAGTTTTTCCAGTCTATTTTCTTTCTGTTACTCAGATTGGATAATTTTTATTGTTCTATCTTACAGTTCACTGATTCTTTCCTCTGTTCCCTCCATCCTTTTATTAAGCACATCCAGGGAGTTTTTTTCATTTGGGTACTGGATTCTTCGGTTCTAAAATTTCCATTTGGTTCTTCTTTATATGTTCTATTTCCATGCAGATGCTTTTTCTCACTTAGTTCAAGTGTGTTTGTAATTTTTCACTGAAGCATGTCTATGACTGCTACTTTAAAATTCCGGTCAGTCCCCCTGGGCTCCCCTGCCAGAATGAGGGGGGTGCCATGGGCCTCAACCATACCCCCACCTCCTTCCTCCTACTCCCACCCCATCCCCCTCCCCTTGCCTGTCTCCCCCTCTCCCCAACTGCTCTGCAACAATATCTATGATTGTAAATCAGAATGTAATCAGATTGTAATCAGAATGTAAAAGAATAAATAAATAAATAAATAAATTTTAAAAAGATAAAATTCTAGTCAGATAATTCTAACATCTGTCATCTCAATGTTGGCATTTTTCTGGTCTTGGTATGATGAGTGATATTTGATTATGTCCTGAACATTTCAGGTATTATTTTATGAGACTAAAAATCATATCATACAGTAAATTTTAAAAGTAGCCATCATTATAACATATTTAGAAAAAAAACCATTAAGACAAAGATTAATACATAAAATTAAAATTTCTGTGGAGCAAGCACATAAAAAAGAGGATGGAAGAGCTACACAGGGAAAATATATGTTTATTATATATAACCAACAAATCTTTGTGATTTTCATACTGTCTAATGATATAAATATCTATTTGTTCAAGTGCATTTTTGTCAAAAGCTTTATAATGCTCCTCACTGAAGATTCACTAGTGCTTTTTGTTTCTTGTCTGAAAAATCTTTAATTCAATATTAGAGTCCTAAATTTCCTTCTGAAAATTTTACATTTTTAGCTTTACCGTTTAAGTTATGATCCACTTCAAATTAATTTTATGTACGGTAGGAGGTAGATATTGAAGTTTGCATGATGTAATTATTAGGTGTAAGGTTCTATAATATCAAATATTTCAAAGACATTGATAGTGTTGTTCAGATCTTCTATTCCTTTACTAATTTTTTTTTTGTTGGCTTTAATAGCTTAAACAAGTAGACAAGTGTACTTGTTTGTGTACACTGCTGTTAGAAGTATATTGAAATTTCCAACTCCGTAGGTTTTAAAATTTATCTTTTTGTAATCTGTTTGCTCCTTTTAATATGAAGCTCTGATACTAGGCATAGAAAGATTTATGAATGTTTTGTCTTTCTGTTGAAATGATCCTTTGCCATTGTTATATGTTCCTGTTTATCTCTAATAGTCCTTTTTAGATTTTATTCTCATTTAGTATACCAGCTTCTTTACTATTCACATGTTGTCTTTTTCTATCCGTTTTGTTTCAAACTACCTGTGTCCTATATTTAAATTGTGCTTCCTTTTGTCAGCACATAGTTAGGTCTTAACATTTTATTCATTCTCACAATATCTACTTTTTAATTAGATTATAAGCTAGTTCATCTCCATGTAATGTAATTTTAATGGAAAGCCTTAGGTCTACTATCATGCTATTTTTCTATATGCTGCAGTTTTTCTCTTCATCTTCTTCTTTATTTGTTTGTTCATTCATTTCTCTATTCCTTTTTTCTTACTTTTTGGGGGGTTAAATACATTTTTTGTATTCCTTTTAATTACTACATTGAATTCTTAGATATGCTTTTTATTATGTTTTCATAATTTTCCCAAAGATTAGAATATTAATTCTTAACCTTGTCACAGTCTACTTAGAATTATTTTTGTACCACTCTCTCATTTTTGTAACACATTATCTCATAGCAATATATTTCCATATATCCCCTGTCCTCCTTGCTATTTATGGCCTATATTTTACTTCCTCCCATTTTATGAGCCACATCTTACAATACTATCATTTTGACTTTAAGGGGATAAAATAGAAAGCTAGCTTTTAATATTTATCACATATTTACCATATCTGTTGTTTTTCATTCTTTCTTGCAAATCTAATTTTCTATCTGGTTTATTTCCACTAGCCTAATTAGCTTGCTTTTTTATTTTTATTGTGGTTTCAGATATTCTGTGACAATTCTTACAGCTTTTGTTTGCCTAAAAATGTCTTTATTCCAACAAGATATTTGAAGTACACTTTTTCCGAATATAGAATTTTTAAATTTTTATTATTAGCATATTCATTATTACAAATTGTGATTTTTCTTTATGTCCTTTACCTGACCTATGACTTCCCCAACCCCCTCCCTCCTTCCTCCCATCTCTAGTGCCCTTGGGTTTGTTCTCTCCCTCTGAAAGTTCAACATATTGTGGTCCTTTCTTTTTTATCTCCCTCCCTCCCTCCCTCCCTCCCTCTATCCCTCCTTCCTTCTTTCTTTCTTAGCACCCAGTTATGAGTGAGAACATTCAGTATTTCTCTTTCCTTGTCTGGCTTATTTCACTTAACATAATTTTCTCCAGACTCATCCATGTTTCTACAAATGGTAGAATTTCATTCTTTATTATGGCAGAGTAGTATTCCATTGTGTATAGATACTACATTTTCCTTATCCAGTCATCTGTTGATGGACATGTAGGTTGGTTTCATATTTCGGTTACTGTAAATAGAGCTATGATGAACATGGGAGTGCAGTATCCTTTCAACATGATGATTTCCATTCCTTTGGATATGTACCCAGCAGTGGGATTGCTGGATTGTAGGGCAGTTGTATCTGTAGTTGTTTGAGGAATCTCCATACTGTTTTCCATCATGGCTGTGCTAATTTACAGTCCCACCAACAGTGTAGAAGAGTTCCCCTTTCCCCGCATTTGTTATTCTTGGTCTTTTTAATAATGGCCAGTCTAACTGGGGTGAGATGATATCTCAGGGTGGTTTTGTTTTGCATTTCCCTGATGATTACTGATCCTGAGCATTTTTTCACGTACCTGTTGACCATATGTATGTCTTCCTTTAAAAAATGTCTTCTCTTTAATTTTAGTACTTTAAAGATGGCAATTCATCACCTTCTGTTCTGCATTGTTGCAAAGGATGAGCTTTCAGTTATATTTTTGCTCCTCCACATATAACAGGACATTTTTGCTTAGCTACTTTGAAAAAATTTTTTAAAAAATTTTTGGTTTTAAACATTTGGACTATGATCAGTTTTATAAAATTTCTTTTGCTTGAATTTCACTAAGATGGTTGAATTTGTACATTGCCTTTTTCACCAAATTGAGAAATTTCTTAACCACATTTTCCACC